TACTTTGTTTTCAAAATTCCTTTTTTTGAGTAATTAGTGATTATTATAGAAAACTCAGAAATAAAAACAGTAAACATTACTATGTTTTACAAAGGTAATTCTAGAGAGTGTACAATATAAGTTAGGAGGGAACTGCATAATACACACAAAGAATGAGAACTCTGTCCAGAGACATTAGCAGAGGGTATGGAGAAACAAGGACTCCTTCAAGAGACATTTAGGAAGCAGAATGGGTGACGAGGGATGAGGGAGAAGAAATCACTACTGACACTAAGGTTCCCAGTTAAATGATTTTGTACATGATCAAGCCAGTAAAGGAAAGTAGAGAAATAGTTTTCGTGAGAAAAGACAATGAGTTCTCTTGGGGTATAAACTGTATGACAAAATCAAAATAAATAAAAATAAAGTGAACTAAGTAATCTCCAATTTCCCTTTAGAGTCTTCCATTCTTTTTGGTACCGGAGATCGAACTCGGGTCCTTGCGTTTGAGCAGCAGGTGGCAAAACCACTGAGCTAAATTCCTGGCCCAAGAGTCTTCCATTCTAAAATAGTGAATATTATCCAAAGATTTTATCATCTTTCTAAATTAAATTCCATTATTCATTATCTTCAGTGCTCAAGAAATTAACTGTATTAGAGAGTGGAAAATAAGACATCTAGCATTCATTGCTCAATTTTTCTATCTATATCAGATTCTTCTTTCTGGAACTTAAATGGCACATTTACCCTAGATATTTTACATTAAAAATAAACTTTGTGAAAAATCATCCAGGTGTGGTACTGTATGCCTGTGATACCAACAATTGTAAGGCTGAGGGAAGAGTACTGTCATGAGTTGAAGGCCAGCCTGATCTAGCTAGTGAGTCTGTCTCAAAACCAACCAACCAACCAAACAAACCTTTAAAATGTTTCTCTTGACTCCATCGCCCTGATCATCTCTTCTTTTGTGTGTGTGTGTGGGGGGCGGGTATCAGGGATTGAACTCAGGACCTTGTGCTTGCAAGGCAGGCACTGGAACCACTGAGCTAAATCCCCGGCCCTCATCTCCTCACTTCTTTTCTCCCTTTTTGTGGAACTCCCTGAAAGAGTTGTCTATTTTGCTTTCTCCATTTTTCTCTCACTTGTTCTCTAAAACTCCTTTAATCTATCTCCACCAAAGTTGGTCTTACCACCTGGCGAGTGAAAAGGTAAACTGTTATTTTTCACTGTTCTTGATCTGTCAGCATCATTTGTCACAGATGTTCACACCATCCATCCTTCTGAGATTACTTTCTTCACTTGGTTTCCAGGTTACCACATTTGCTTTATTTTTTTCCTTCTCTCTCATTTGCTGGTTTCTCCTCTTCTGCCCAACTTTTTAATATTTAAGTGTGTTAGGTATCAGATTCTGGTTTCTTCCATAGTTATAATCACTACTTAAATGGCCTCTGTCAAAAAAATCTTACTGATTTTACTTTCAAAATACCATTCTTTTACCTCCCTGTACTACTTCAACTCTTACATGAGCTGTCATCATCTGCAACAGCCTCCTATCTGATTCTGTTTCTACTCCTTCCCACTAAAATCTATTCTCAACACAGCAGTGTATGTCAAAGTGATGATTTTATTTTTATTTTTTTTAAGGGGCTTTTTTTTCCTTTTTTGGTACCAGGAATTGAACACAGGGCCTTGAGCTTGCCAGGCAGGGGCTATGCTGTTGAGCTACATTCCTGGGCCCACAGTGATGATTTTAAAATGCTTAACTAGATGCAGTCACTTCTCTAAGAAAAAACAAAAAACCAAAAAACCAAAAAAACAAAACAAAAAGACCCTGCTGAGAATGGTTCCCTAGTTTCATTCAAAGTAAAAGCTTAAGTATTTACAATGACCTATAAAGCATTGAAATCTGTCTCACTCTTGTCTCACATTTACCTTTCTGATCTTCAGTCTTCCTCCTCCATCACTCCTGTTTTTTCCTCTGGCTTGCTTCTCTCCATCTAGCCTTACTGGCCTCCTTGTTACCCTTTGAACACGTTAAGCACTCTGATGCCTCAGAGTGCTAGCTCTGGATAATCCTCCTTTCCCCTTAGCTAGTGGACTGCTTTCAAATCTTTGTTCAAATTTCCGTGAGGCTTTCCATGACCAATTTAATATTGCAATCAACTCCTCCAATCCCCATCCCTCCATCTTTGCATGTGAAGAAGAAGGAAAATACAAGCAAAACTAAGGAGAAATATCAACCAATCAAAACTGATCAAGAACTGACAAAGAAAGTGAAATTAGCAGACATAGACATTAAAAGCTATTATAACTGTATTCTTAGATGTTCAATAACGTAAGTAAAATACTCTGGTTTCTCTTTAGATTGTATAAAAAGGTAAGTAAAGTCATGGAAGGTGTAAAAAAAGTCCTAGTCAAGTTCTCTCTAAAACATGTACAATGTCTGAGGTAAAACACACTGGATGGGAGTCATTCCAGAGTAGACAGTCCAGAAAAAAAAGACTAGTGAATTTGAAGACAAAGAAATAGCAATTACTTAAAATAAAATACAGAGAGAAAAGGGTTTCTTTTTAAATGGAAAAAGAGTATCCAGTGAGATGTGGGATACTTTCAAACAGCTTAATATATATTTGACCATAATCTCCGAGAGAAAAACAGGACAGAAAAATTAAGAAAACAGTGGCTGAACCTTTTCTAAATTTGATTACAACCATATATGCCCAGGTCCAAGAAGCTCTATGAATACCAAACAAAAGAATCATGAAGAATACCACACAAAGGCACATTATAATCAAATGGTTAAAACAAACAATAAATAGAAAAATTTTTTTTTTGGTACTGGAGATCAAACTCGGGACCTTGTGCTTGCAAGGCAGGTGACGGAACCACTGAGCTAAATCCCTGGTCCTTAGAAAATCTTAAAAGCAGACAGAGAAAAAGGCATAGTATGTATAGAGGAATAAAGAAAAAGTCAATCATAGATTTCTTCTCAGAAACACTGCAAATGAGAAGATAGCTGTGACCATTAATCATGATATGTCAACTTGTCTGGATTAAGAAATGCCTAGCAGATTAGTAAAGCACACTTTTGGGTGTGCCTGGGTGGCTCATGGAGGTATGACCTTGGGTCCTGGTCCTTTCCTCTCTGGCACTGTTCACCTGCTCTGCTTCTCAGCTGCCATAAATTTAGCATCTTTGCTCCATTATCCCCTCCACCATGATTTTTCTGCCTTGGAGCTAGGCGATCATGGATTGGATCCCCCAAAACAGAGACCAATTAAAGTTCTTTAAATTGTAGGTGTCAGGTATTATGTCCCAGCAACAGGGACAGAATACAACAGTGAGACAACATCTTAAAGTACAAATCAAAAGAAAAGACTCAAAGCAGTTAATCTAGAATTCTACACCTAGTGCAAATATCTTTCAAAAACAAAGACAGGGTTGAGGACATAGCTTGCTTAGCATGTGCAAGGACCTGGTTTTGATCCCTAGCACTGAAGAAAAAAAAAAGAAAGAAAAGAAAAAGTAAAATAAAGATTATTTTAGACATTAAAAAACTGAAAGATTCCATCACCTGAACTACAAAAAAAATTAAAGAAAATTGTTCAGGCAAAATGAAAATGACCCTGTGTGAAAATATATATCTAAACAAAAGAATACAGAATAAACCAGACATGCATATAAAAGAGTATGGCAATGGCAACTATACTGGTAAATATATTTTTACAAAATATTGAAATGTCTGTAAAAGATAATTGCTAAAAAACCCCACTGTATTGTATTTTATAAAATACATGTGTTAAAATGTGACAAGAACATAAAGTCCAGGCAGAACAAAATAGAAGTATATTAATTTAAAAATTCTTATATTAACATATGGGAACTGGTAAATACTATCTCAAGGCAGCCTGTATAAGTAAAAGACTTGTACATGAATGCTCATAACTACTTAGATATAATAACCGGAAACTGACACCAACTCAAACATCTATCAAGAGATGGATGGATATGCAAATTAGAATATATTCATTTAATACTACTTGCAGTAAAAAGAAATTACTGTATATGTTGATATATATAACAAAATGGATAAATCTCAATTTTATTCTGAAGCAAAGACAAAAAAGGAGTATATACTATCTGATTACATTTACACAAAATTCCAGAAGTTATGAAATAATCTACAATGATGGAAAACAAGTAAGTGGTTGCATGGGTGTAAAAAGAAACTTGGAAGTAACGGGTATCTTGATTGTGGTGATGGTTTTATGGTCACTGTATGTTAAAACTTGTCAAATTTAATATATTAATAGGTGAAATTTATTGTATGTGAATTATTCTTCAATAAAGCCATTTAAAAAACAATTTTGGATTTAAATTTAGGTTAAGTACCAAAAATATTTAGATACCTACAGTATTCTGGCTCCACAGAATAAAAATAAATAGGTATTTTAATCAAAAGCTAGAATTAACAGAACATAATTTATTATGGACAAAGAGAGCAGAGAGCAATTAATCAAATACTTTCTTCTAAGAGATAAAAGAACCAAGTCCTAAAGAGGTTCAGTGACTTGGTTTGACGTCTTACAGCTATAGCAAATACCTTACTATACTGTAAGATTTACAATGACTGGAATAGTGTTTTTAGGTTACCACTGAACCCTAATACCTAAGCCATACCAGGACTCAATAATATTCACTGTTTGATATTTTCCCTGGAAAGAAAGGTTAAAAAAGAAAATAAAAGGAAAGAAAATCTGTCTTATAATATAAGCTTCCCCAATCTTTGATTATTTAGTCTCTTTAACACAGATGAGAGAATTAAGCAGTACCGTTAACATAAATGCAGTAAGATAAATTATATTCCATATTTTTAGCTTAATGGACAGTTTATTAAAGTCCAGTACTTAAAATTTCTAACTCATATTACCAACTCTTAAGCAGAAAAATTAGTAGGAAATTCCCCATTCATTCAGATAAGTGATTTTTCAAATTAAGAAAAATTAAAAGAAGAAGCTTACCAAAAATTTCCCCATTTTTGGCATATTCCGTCACAAGATACAACATACTCTTGGTCTCCATTACCTATGGATAAATAATTCCACATTAGTCTGACAAGAAGGAATGCAATTTCCCACATTCTATGGGTTTACCTAAATTAAAACTATTAATAAAAGAGTCAGAGTAATGAAAAATTTAGAACCTGGCAAAGTTTATAAGTCCGACAATATATTTTTGTTAATATTTTTATGAAAAATCTAGGCCCTTGCTCTTCTAAGTGTGGTTCACCAGCTAGAAATAGCAGGCACCTGTTAGAAATGCAGACTCTCAGGCTTCCCCTCAGACCTACTAAATTAGAATTTACATCTTAACAAAATTGTCAAGTCATTTTTATGGTCATTTAAATTTGAGACGTATTAATACAGATAACAAAAGTTTTGAAGATCAACTTTTCAGTCCCTTGTCACTGAATTTTTGAGCCCTGTATTATCATAGTACCTCTGATTAGGGAGAGGATAATAAAACAGAAGAACTTAGTTTATCTGGTCTATAGCCTACCTAATCTAATACAATTTGATATTCTTCCTACTAAAATATTGATACAAAGTACTAGAATTTTAAAACATTGTTTGAAACTGTATCTTCATAGCTCTACTGCTTAATACTTTCATTGAAATTAGTTTTCTAGATTCAAAAAGGTGTGGGATTGCCACCACTTTGATTTTTCAAACTCTATAGAATAAATGGCTATTTAGAAAGAAAATTCATTTTAAAATTCAAGATGAGTGACTTCTAGATTGCTTCTCTGTAACCCTCTTTTAACTGTGATTTACTGAATTACAAAACTAATTTTGCACTAAAATGCAGGTTTAGGACTATTCCCCACCAGGTGAAAAGCAGATACCTAGAGTTTGGACCTAAAGAAATCAAATAGTAATTCAACTTCAATTGATTATTTAGTGTAAACAAAGCCAGAATTATCAAGTGAATCTTATCAGTTTTATCCTCAGTTCAGCTTAGGATTTAATAAAAAATCAGAGACTTCTCAAAATATGATTGGTTTCTAAAAAGTATCTTCTTCAGGAATTTTTTTTAAAAAGCTTAAATAAATAAATTTGACCTCTTGAGGTCTCTTTAGTTTTAGGAAATATTTTGGATGGCACACTCCAGTCTCTCATTTTTACAATGCATATCATAAGCCAATGGTCTCCAATCATGTTTACTGCCAATTTCCATCAATAAACATTATTTAAATATATATATGTATGCATACATATATGTATAAACACACCTACAAGTATTTAGATGTATATATGCATATAAATAGACACAAATATACATGTGCCACAGTATGAGTATATGCTGCATGTTATGAAATGCACAGAAGAGGACACAATAAACACAGCTCGAAGCTGTAATATTTTCTTTTTACACTCCAAGAATATTTGTCCTAACCCATTTGAGTACAGAGAGGTGTGATAGTAAACCAGGTCTCTCAGAACAAAAGGTTTTAATTTGTAAGCCAGTTTCTATGGTATAATTACTTCCCTTATTGCTGATTTTGAGATTACTAACATGTTTATCACCTCATAAAACTTTTGAAAATTTAATAACCAGTCTCACAAACCAGAACAGACTGAGTCCAGCATACCATGCATATCATACTTTGGGGATCAAAGTCATAGGCCAGGATACTGAGGTCTTTCAGTTTAAGAACAATTTTACAATTTAAAAAATTCTACATATGAATGAATAGAAACTTTAAAAATGTTTTACATTATTATTGCATGAAACACTCTTAAAAAATCTGAGAAAGCCAGGGATTTAGCTCGGTGGTTCTGCTGCTTGCCTCGCAAGCACAAGGATCTGAGTTCGATCCCCAGTACCCCAGTACCAAAAAAAAAAAATCTGAGAAAACGGAGCCAGTCACAGTGGTATACACCTGTAAACCCAGCACCTGGGAGGCTAAGGAGGATTCAGAGTTCAAGGTTAGCCTGGGCTATACAGCAAGTTTGAGGGCAGCCTTAGCTATATAGGAAGACTCGGTCTGAAGAAAACAAAAACAACGCCTGCTGTGCAAGCACAAGGACCAGAGTTCGATTCCCGTGCCAAAAAAAATAAAAAAAATAAAAAATAAAAACCCCTGAGAAAATGTTCCTTTAAAAAAAAAAATGGCTATATTTGAAAGAAGCACAATTTATTTTATACAAATTATCTTAATAAAGCCAATTTTTAAAAGTTTATTTTTTTATCTGATAAAACAAGCCTCTTCAGAAAAAGATTTGGCTTTTTGTATTACAAAGTATGACATTCTAAGTAACATAGTATTTCATGAAAAATAAACAATATGCTTTTTAAATAAGCAAAACTACCATATACTCATTTGTTACTACAACTAAAACCAGTTGCTTAAAAGCAGTTTCAAGTAGGTTATCACAGATGCACAGCTGCAAACTTTTAAAATAAATAACTAGCCGTTTGAGAGACAACTTAAAAATTAAGCTACCAGTTAGCTTTTGATTTCCAAATTTTTTATTTAAAGATAATACAGAAAAATTGATATACTTAGCATATATTTATCCTTTCAGAGATTAGAGAAACATAAAAGGAAAAAAAAATCATGATGCAAAATAAAAAAACCCTGAATATGAAAAGCTTAAGGACAAACTGTACCTGATAAAGTTTGATTATGTGAGGATGGTCTAACATTTTCATTATTTGTACCTCTCGGTAGATTTTCTCAAGGTTCACTGCATCCAGCTGAGATTTATCTATTATTTTTATCGCCACCTGCATCCCAGAACACAAGGAAATACAATTATTATTTAACAGTTAGCATTTTCCAGTTACAAATCCATTCACTAAATGACATGTGGCTTTGCCAGTTGGCCCATATGACAACAGCTACTTTTAATTCAATGCTCATTCATTCATTCATTTATTTAACCAGTATCTCTTAAACTCCCACTTTGTGTAAGTACTGTAGTTTTTGTTTGGCAGTACTTTTAATGTGCCATGTAGAGTAACTCTGCAAAGTTACATATTTTAATAAAACATGTTTCACCTTCAGTACAACTATAATGTCTCTTTGTTCTATCTATAAACTGAAAAAATAAATTCTTTTCAGTTTCAGTTATCTCACTGTCAAATACAAGAAATGATCTGCCAAATAGAAGTTCAGAAGGCAAGTTTTGGAATATTATTTTTCTAGAAAAGTAAGTGATAGTTTATATAGATACAACTTTCTGAAAAACAGTGAATTATAAAGTATTAAAACTCATGCACCTTACAAATATCAGTTGGATTAAATTTCATTTAAAAAATCTAAACACAAAACCTCATACAATTATGCTACATTTTAACTTTCTAAAAGGAACGTGATTTCAGAAAAAGTGGCCTCATTCTGTTATAACTAAATAGAAACCCGAAAAGTTCCAAGGTTAACAATTTGAAGAAATTACATTTGAAGGTGAATGCCTGGGCACTCAATAACCACATACTTTTTCATCTAACTAAAAAGAACTTTAAAAAAATTAGTAAATATTTGGGTGGAAATAAGGCAATCTGATTTAAATAAAAACTTCAGATAACTGTGAACCCCCCAAATTTAGTTCTAAGTTCTGAGTTCTAAAATGCACTTCACATTCTATCAAAATTGTAAACATCATCTAGCCCTATGTTGCTTCAGGGTAACTTTTTTTCTTTTTTTGTGGTACTTGGAATTGAACCCAGTGCCTTTGCCTGAAACAGGGTCTTGCTAAGTCACTAACTAGCCCATGCTGGGCTTGAATTTGTAATCCTCCTGCCTCAGCCTCCCAGAGTACCACACCAAACTCAGGATAACTTTTAATATCAGCTATTGCATGTGCCTTAATAGTTCAACACTCCCAAAAGGTATGCCAAAAAATAGGATTAAGCTTGTCACTTCACTCAATTCCCTCAGTCTCCTCTTTATTTTTTTCTTTTATTTTTTCCAATTAAGTTTATTGGTACATTTTAGGAAAAAAATACAGTTACATTCATCATTGGGATCTTGTACCATTACATGAGTATCTTGGTTCTTATTTTTTTCCCCTTCCCTGGCCCTCCCTTCGCCCCCTCCACCCTTCCCTATTTGCAAAGACTTTGTTTCCATTTTTTTCCTTTTCTCATATTTTTTCTTTTCCCTTCTTTCCTT